AACTAGTGATTTTTTAATACCTTGTGATTTTTACAATAGATGCTAAAATACAATGTTTAGATAGCTGTAGTAACCAGCATAGACCTCTGGTGTGAATACTAGCAAATATTAAAGGATGAAGATAGGCAGGATATAAGAATCAAAGAAGGAGTAGTTTCTTGTGCTCAGATGAAATCTCAGCACATGGAAACTGGGAGCACAAAACCAACAGGTCTTCATGTGCTAAATGTCATATTGCAGAAGGCTAAAAGGGCCTCTCTCCCAACTCCTCCCCAGTTACTCAGCAATAATGTTTAAAAATTCTGAAGTTCTTTCCATTTCACTGTCCTTTGTTGTTTTTTTCCCACCAACAGGTTTGCAGAAAAGCTATTTTTAGCTTTTTGGGAGGGGAATCTGGACTACAACGAGCAGTTTCTAGTTGGAGCTCTCCGAGAGAGAAAGATGTTCTGGGAGCTGCTGATGAGGCTGGAGTGTGTGGCACAGTCTTCTGTGACAGAAGTGGGTATGGACTTTTGGGGTGACCTACTACTAGTTTCAAATGCTTTCTTGTGCAACTTGGGGTTTTTGGTGTCCAACAGGGCAAAAAAGTTGCCTATCTGTTTGCTGATTAAAGAAGAGAAAATGCTGTGTCTGTCTTGATGGTGCCAGAAGGCAATGCTCAGCATGCCATGCCCTGCAGGCCCTCTTCTCCTGGGGTTCACATTTTCTTGCTAGTACCCTTACACTGCTTAGTTTATATTGTTCACTGATCATGGGATGTATGGTTAATAGAAAAAACAAAAGTGAAACTGAAAAAAATTTCCTTTGGCACAGAAAAAATCCAGTTTGACTGCAGGAGACTTTTCTTATTCTCATTCTAGTAGCTTTCTTCCTAGTGTTTACCATGATAACCATCAAAATATTCTATCGGACTGTGCTAAGTATTGTAAAAAACTTTTTCACATGGGCACACAGCTGTGAGGTTTTTCTCTGAGTTGGCATTGAATCTGGAAGTTGCTGGCTAAGGACTTTTGCACTTAGTTGACTCCAGTGTTTTAGCAAAGCTTCCCCTCTACTGAATAAGTAACCTAGCCCTCTTGTAGCTGTTGTGCTTCAAAGCAGCTGGAGCATAGATGGAGCTGGTATTAACTGATGCTCCCAACTTCTGAAGTTAAGGATGTGATCCCTTTGCTGTTGGTGGCATTGTTTATGGGAGGGAAATGGTTTTGGTCCCATCAAGAGAATGCCAGTGATACCCTCTTTTTCTTTTTTTTTTTTTTTTTTTTCCCCCGAAATATTGAGCTTGTCTTTTGTACCTGAAGCCAGGTAAAATATGCCCATTTAACCAAAATGTCTGTTCATGACTCTGGTAGCGTGTGTAAGAAAATGAGTTATCCCTGACTAGGTTGCCTGACTCACCTCACAATGAATGCTGTTAGACTGAATGCAATTTGGTGTATCTCACACAGTACTATGAGGTCTTGGGCATTGGAGACAATTTCAGGGACACTTGCTTTCTGAGTAATCTTGTCTTTGATTTCCCAATAGCTTCTAGGAACATAGTTGCTTTAATTGCCTACTCTTGCTTTAGCTGCATATTGGGCAGATGTTTACACAGCTCGATATGGGTGAGGTTAGTAGCAGTATTCAGTGTCTTGAAGACTCTTCATGAGCAATATAAGGAACCACATTCCCTACAACAGCCTAAGGTATGACATAAGATTTCTTGGAGAAAATAATGAGGAATATAATTTCCTGTTGAGCCTGTATTTGCCCAGTTACTCACAAGTGTAAAAGCAGGGGTAATTCAAATGTTTGTTTTCTTTGAGGCTGGATTTAAAAAAAAAGGTCTGAATGGCATTTTGCAGAATGTTAATACAATGAACTGTAGAGTACAAAAGCACTATTAAGAGCAAAGGGGTGTATTAAGACAGCCCAGGCCTTATCAGAAGATTTATATCAGTTCATTGCAGGTTCCAGATATATGTAACTTTATCACTCTGTAGCTGAAGGAGGGAAACAGGTGGCTCCTAACCCCTGCAACAGGGCTTTGAGTACATAAGTAGGGCAACTATTTCTGTCCATTAGTGATATATTAGGCTGAAGTGCCTCTGAATGGTGAGGAGATGTTGCAAGCCAAGGGGAGACCACCAAGTGACCTGTAGGAAATAGTAATTGAGGTGGGTGTGTGAAAAGGTGTCTGTCTGCCTCAGCAGCTGCTGCTTTGCAGGGACATTCAGAAATGTTTTGTGCTAAGTCCTCCAAGTTTGCTCAGAATGGACCAAGTTAAAGGCGAGGATTCAAAGGAGAAGTGTCAATCTTAGTGTGAGCATATGTATTAGCTCATGCACGTGAAGCTGTTTGTTGGATTAGTTTGACCATGGCAGTCTTGAAACTGGAGTCAATTGCTTGAGCTGCTTGTGTAAAAGCTAAACCCAAACATCTCAGAGAGAAGGGTGGGAAGGGTTGGGTTCTCTGTGGTGGAAAAGGCAAAAGTTTCACCTTGGTCAGAGAGGGAAAAGGAGGTTGATGCTGATGGCATGCAGCCATTGCTTCCTGCATGGACCTTCCTTTTGGGAAAAACAGCTAGGTAATAATTTATGTGTAGACAATCTATTACTGAAGACAGGTAGCTTTACCAGGCATTAAGATAAATGTGCCAGGAGAGGCGCATGCTGCATGTAAAGGTGAATGAATGCTGTGAACACTCTCCATTTGAGCATGTGGAACTTGAAACATCCACTTCAAAGTGTCCTGGAGAGCTGTGGCCAAGTGAGGACCCTTTTATGTTTAGCTTTGCTTCTACTGGGTGATCAACACCTTCTGTTTCATTGTTAGTAACAGAACAAGGTCTCCATCTCATGTAGCAAAATTAGGACAGGGCATAGATTTCCAAAGCTATTTATCATTATATGATGCACTGGGTTTAGAACTCGACTCAGCAGGTGGGCAGGGGGACTTAGGCTCCATACGAAATAACTCCTTTCACTGTTATGCTTTGATAATGAAGGCAGCAGCTCTGCAGCACTGTGAATGCCTCCTGACACCTCAGCGTCCAGAGGGTACCGAGGTATCAGCGGTGTCTCTTGTGTAGCTGGAAACAGCAGCTCTTCACAGGTTTTAGTGGTTGTGAGACCAGTTAGCACAGCTTTTTTTGTTTGTTTGTTTTCTCCTGGACTTTACAAAATATCTGAAATATGCAGCTAGAGGCAATGCTGTTGTCTGCAAACATTAACCTCAGACTGTTAGCTGAGCCAGGTGCGGAATAGGATGTTACCGGAGATCCCTTCCAGCTTCATATCTCCCATGCTCTTAAAACAGTCTTTATCACCCAGGTTCAGCACAAGTTTTTAAGTGTTTGTAGTAAGTGATTTAATTAACCAAAAACATTCTTCAAGTGGTTGGGGTTTTTCTTTTTCTTTTTTTTTTTTTTTTTTTTTTTTTTTTTTTTTTTTTTTTTTTTTTTTTCAGTATGCTACTGAACAAGGCAATATACCATGGAGATATTGACAAGATCGCCACGGCAGCACTGAGGCAAGGCTCCATGGGAAGAGACTCTGCAACCCCGAGATCACCCTGGATCCCCAGCCAAAGCACCTACCTGGGCTGGGTGTCAGTAGGCTGGCCCTGTAGCAGGTCCCCCTCCTGGGGCACCCAGCTGCCAGAGCAGGTGGAGTCCAGGAGCTGTAAGCCCCTAGAGCCCCCAGCACTTTGTCAGGCAGGTTAATGGAAAACCAGGCAGGTTTCCACTTGGGTCTGCCTGGATTCTGCCAGAATTTTGTTGCAATAGCACATTTTCAGTAAAATTTCCATTGAAATTTCAAATAAAATGAATGGAAGTTTTCCACCTACAGCAACAGCAAGACCTCTTAGTGAGTAACTGCTGACTAGCTCTAATTACTATTATGTCAGACATTGAGAACTAGCCAAGCATGCCAGGGTTTACTGAAAATTAACACCAGAGCCAGCTGCTTTGTGGCTTATCTAGGCCTGCTGCCCTTCTTTCAGATAGATGTTGTTTAACATAATCTTATATTATTTATGGACTAGAGAGGACTTTGCCCTCTAATGTATGTCCTTTTTTTTCTGGCTTTTTTAAAATTCAGAGCTGAAATATTTATTCATTGCTTCTATTTTTTTCTATATCACTTCTAGCATTCTTCTCATGTCCATTTAATGACACACCTCTAATGTCTGCTAAAATTTCTAATACATTTTCACTGTTTTCTTTTTTGTCCTTGAAGACACACTTTTTCCTTTTCTTTAACTCCCCTCATTCACTTGCCACAATTTTAATTGTTTATTTAAAATGACCTCCTGCCACAAGAAATTTACAGATCAAGGCCCATCAAGACAGAGCAAAGGAGATGCTTTAGGGAATTAAGGATGCCTAACCACAAGGGCAGGAGAAAATCAGGGAGGATGTTTGTGTTGCAGGTCTGCAGTCCCTCCTTCATTAGTGGGCAGGTTGCAAATGCTGGCTGGGTCTGAGAGCGTGGTTCTCACATGAGCTCATCACTGCTGGAGCAGCTCATAGACCCGTATATTTTGGGCTACAATTATACACCAGACAAATATGTAACAGCAGGAAAACCTACAGTTGCAGTGATAGGAAGTATATTTATACAGAGTGGTACCATCTGGTGCACGCTCCTAATAGTGACTATACTTAGCTGCCATACTGTGTATCCCGGCTAATCCCACGCTCTAAAAAACGAGGCATTCAGTATCTCGCAGATAACCTCACTTTTAATGCCAGCCATTCTCCACTCGGTGATTTCTATGCAACTCCATGAATAGATACAAAACAGGGTACGAAAAAGGGTTATTAAATGAAGGGGCTGCCATGTTGCTCATCTGCAGAGACAGGGATACACAAATTTCTCTCTTAAAAAGGAATGTAGTTTTAATGATGCTCATGTAAAGGTTACCAGTTTGACTCTGCTTGGTTTAAAAAAAAATAAATTTCCTTCTCCCGCTAGCCTAAAACAGAAGAAAAAAGATCTACAGTTTTTGAAAAAATCATTTATTATACGTCCATGGATGGTTTTGTAATAAAAACCCTCACAAGGCCTACTGTCAACATTACAAAATGAGCAAGAAAATCCAACATCCACCACTTCCAGCAGTGCTAATAAGTTAGTATGCAATACTACCCTTACAGTGTGTGCAGCAGCTGCATATCACTGTGACCAACATATTTTAACTTGAAAAATGGACATGTTACAGACTCTCTACTTTGGTTTTGGACACTGACAGGTTTGCACTGTGAAAAGACCGTGAATTATGCCATTGTTCCATAGTTTTTCTGTTATTTTTCTTGAGATCTTTTATATTTTTAGTGGGCTACATGAATTCTCTCTCTAGATAAGTCTCTACGTGCAGCTGCAGTCACAATATGTGCTTTTGCTCTGAAGCAAAGACACAGTTACAGTTCAGTTTTTCCATACGCGTAACTCTCAGTCATGGTCACAGGAAGAAAGGTGTGTGGGTGCATTATTGTTAACTCTAGTCCATGTTAAAGGTACCTGCAACAATAATGCAGCATTATTTGAATTAGTGTTCTTAAAATAAAGAAAAATATTATTGGCACCTTTTTCTTTAAAAAATGTAAAGCCAGACTTAGCGTTCATGAAGAAGCGTGCCCCAGTATATTAAGGATACAGTATTCAAACGAGCATAAAATACTGCTCATACAGACAGCAGTTGGAATGGAATACATATTTGGTGTGCCTTTCTGGTTTACCTGTAAGTATCACACATTTATACACACACATACACACACACAATTTTGTGCGAGGTTGAGGAGTGAGCAGAGACACTTGTGCGCTTTATAGCTTTCTGAATTCACAGGTGTGTGCTCAACAGATTTCTGAGTTGGAAAATGAAAACTACAATTACATGAGCCTGGATTTGTGTAAGCGTGTTAAAAGCAACAGTTGCATCTTTGCACTCATTCCCTCTGCTATGGAGTTAACGTGACTTCTCTGACTATTTTCCTTTGGTGTGAGCAGAGAGCATATGTAGTGGGTAATCCACAGCACAGCCAAAATCGCAGTCTGGAGGGTGCTGAGCATTAATTAAGCATCCATATAACATAGAACTTAACCTTTTTTTTTCTGTCTTGCACAGCTGCATAGCATGATTACACTTGAGATTGTCAATAATGTCTTTTCCTTTGCGTACCTTAATTATGTATATAGTTGAAAGCTAGCATATGCAGAGAGAAGCTAAGGTAGAGAGTTGAAGCAAGTTACCCAGGTTTATGGTGTACAATGATATTACAGAACTGTGAGGCATGTATTAAAAATTCTCAAGAGGAAAACATCTTGCAATTTATTGTAACATAAGTAGTAAACATCCAAATGTGTTTTTACACAGGTAACCGTTAGGGCTTGCTACAGGTATGTTTTAAACACTGCTGAATAAAAATGAACCTTTTACAAACCCACTAATCCAATATGTTTTCTTCAAAACAATATTAAGTGTGTGGCTATGAAAACAGAGTGACACATAAAAAAATTTCAGAAATCATTTACCACAGGGTAGTATTTTTATAACTAGAGGAAAACAAAAATTGTTTACATAAATACATATATTTTTATATATATCAAATTACAGTTTCCTGCACTGAACATTTATCAAATACACAAGTACCGAGCAATACTGGATAGGGTGCTTTGCCACAACTTGTGGTCTCCTTAAATTCTCGTGAGAATGGAAGACAAGTTTCTATGGAGGATACAACTTGTTCAGTGATGAAAGCTCACAAAAGAATTAAAAAAGTAAAGAAAACAAACAAAAAACCCCCACAGCAGAAAAGCCTGATGTTTCCAGCACAGGCATCTTTAACAACAAAATGTGAATGCTCAACTGTTCAAGCACATGACCCAGCACAGAGTTTGTGCCAGAGAACTTTATTCTGTACGACAGCTGACATCTGCCAAGGGTGATGTATTTGGGCAACAAATCTGATGCTCAGTTTTGTCCACAAGCTTGTCAAAGCCATCATCTTTCCAGTAGACCAGTTGGTAGGGACCAGTCACCTTTCAGACCCCTACAGAAACCGCACCCTTCCTCTTGGAGCTGAGCAGCCATGCCCACAAGCTTCAGATAAAAAACAAGGAACTAGATGGTTTTCCGGCCATTACCTTTCCAGGACTCTAGGAACTGTGGTTATTAGCATGATGGAATAGGTTGAAAAGGGTGACACCGAGCTATTTTTGAGGACTAGGTACACAGTTATTTTGGTTTTGAAAATAGAAAGCATCCACATCACACATATCATTTCACCTGGCCAGAAATGGTAAGCTCAGGTTCCTAATGCATAAATAACGATCCTTAGTGAAAAGGATATGTAGACTCCATTGGGTTCTAGTGACCTTACCAGAAACTGTCTTCAAAATACTGCAGTTACTAGCTAGGAATAACAGTCCCATTTCGGTGTCCTTCGGAGCACACAGTAGAAATATTTATGGTATAAAAAGCACTCGGTTGTCTCCACAGGTTAGTGATGTCTGGAACTTGGGGGATTGTAAATCCAGTCCATTACAATAAGAGTCATACTCACAATCATGAAGATTATGCCAAGTATGAGAAAAATTAGAGCCTGCAATTGGAAAATGAAATTTTATTAATAGAGCGACTGACTGAGCAGACTGTAGTTCACAGACTGTCCCACTGGAACCGCATTTATGTAAAACCCAGGTCATGAGTTTGGGTCATTATGACTAAAACCCAAGTAATGTCATACAGGGCTATGTGAATCAAAGTGAGTCCTGTGTGAATTCCAGTCCAAGAGAGACAGGCTTTGCAAGACTAGATCTGGAAAAACACCACTCTGTTACTATGAACAATAACACAAAACATAACAGAGGAACAGCTTTTTTCTTTAAAAACTGACCAATTTTAAATGAATGATCATTGTCACTGATGTCAAGAACAGCTTCAGAATTAATCCTTTTCATCCTTATTAGACAAACAGGTAAGCACATCTCTCTTCTATGAAGTCATTTCTGTATATATTGAAGTGATTCAGGTGCTTATAGTCACCCTTTGCTTTAGTGGGGCATTAGTATACCGTAATCTGTCCACACTTAACAATATTCTACCTCGCAACACAAAGATTAATATTGTATGTGATCTCAGTGCAGGGTGTGAAATTCTATATGTGCCAAACACACAGCAACATGAAGAATGAACAAAGAGACATGAACAAATGTTCACAGTCTCTCTATAATAACAACTCCAAAAGTCGTAATCAGAAATCATTTTATGCTAACAAACCTTTTCTTTTATACTTACAGTATGTATCGGTTGAACTTCCATGTTTTTTGTGAACATATATATAGATGTACATATGCATATCTCTTTACACTATGTACCCCCATATATATTTCACTAATAACTTTTCAGATTAAATTTTCAAAGGACATCTCCTTCTTGATATTGTTAAATGTGCAGATAACTATTGATATTCAGGATGAAAGGTACAGTTGTGACTGTCCAGCACAACATATAAAAATATACTGTGTATAAATTATATACCTTCATATATGTGTCCTGCAGGTGTATGGATCCACCTCAGTGGGGAATTCACTATTACTTAATTATCTCTGCAATACAACTTATTCTTAACCTTGACCTCAAAACTTCCTGTTAATCCACAGATGGACTTCTAGCATGAACCAACAGCTCCATATATGCTCTCTTGGTGTTATTTATGAAAGTGCAGGTGTTAACTAGATCTTCGGCTGGATTAAATAAATGCCTTTTTCTAGTGATTTAAGTCACACTTTAACCTAGACACTTCCTGTTGCGTAGCAGTAGCAGTAGCAGTATGGCACTAAAGGCTTTGGCCTCTCCATGACCTGAACTTTGCATGAGACACTACCCTTTATGAGCCACTGCCGGATGTTGCAAGTCAAAGGTTTGAGACCAGCAGAAAGCACACACCCTCCCATCCTTCTTTTTGCAATTGATGCCAGCTCCCTTACCCCAATCTTCTGGGGAGACCTCAGGGGCTCCTTCTCAACCAGACGCAGGTAGAAGGCAGCGGGGAGGATGAAAATCAGCATTGTAGCAGAAGAGGCACCTGGAAGAGAAAGCAGAGCTGACTACCATGCCATCTGACACTCAAGCAACGTGGTGCACCTGCAAAAGAGCCTGTGGGGAGTCAGCTGCTCTTCCAAGTCCCGCTGAGAAAAGGGCTTTCTCTGTAGACAGCATTTGTGCAGAGCTTTAGATGTCCAAACACAGATGAGTGCTTGGGGCCTGAAGAGGCACTTGGTACTGAGAGGGTTTGTTCAAACCAGCATAGCTGCCTGTGATATGGATGTTCACATGTGAGCTGGTGAAACAAGGATAACAGGTACTTCCAGGGCAGGATGACCCTGGGAAGCAGGTGTAGAAAAGAGGGTGGATGACCTATGGCCTGGAAATGCCAACTCCTCTCCTCTCAGCAGAGTCCAGGTGTAAAAGGCAGGGAGGAGCAAATTGGCTGCCTGCGTGGAGTACAAAAATATGTAAAAGCCAGAAAACCCATGGAGGTGTCTTTCTCAAGGGAATCTGCATCCCCAAGTCCTCAAGCAGCTCAGAGCATGGAGGCTTTTCATGGACCTCTTTGGTCAGAGGCCAAAACTGACCAAAAGAAAGAAGTAGGGAGAGAAATGTGAATGTCAAAAGAAATGTGTCACCTTTCTCCTTCTAACATCGCAGTTTGGAAGTCAATACATTTTGTCCAGGTTACAGATACTTGAAAACCAAAGGTGATTTCCCTCTCCTCCACATGCACTTAATGCCCTTTTTGTCAACGTGAGAATTCCTTACCAGTTTTTATACTAGATTATTGGATTCCTTGTGCCTCATGCAAGGTAGTAACAAAGTTGGGTAACATTTAACTTTGTCTGTCAGCTGTTTGGAAATTTTCATTTCCCTTTTTAACTTTAATCTGCATTTGTATTATTCTACTTCAAGACCTAAACGGAGACTGTCATTCAGCCCATGAATGTAGATATATTGCGGAGAGGATTAACAGAGTGAACAAAAAGTATTTATGAAACCTACCAATAAATCCGAAGATATCTTTAATAGTTGGGACAAAAATTACAAGCAGGTCATTAAAAGCAAGAATTACTGCTGCAATCAGGAAATGTCTTATCCAGCTGAATGGCCTTTTGGGAAACAACAACGCACTGATAGATGAACGGATCTGTAAGATGAAAACGAGCAGGGAAAGTAAAACAGCAATTAATTTATCTTGGCTTTTTTTTTATTTTTTTATTTTATTTTATTTTTTTATTTTAAGTGATCTATGCTAGTTACATTTTCTGTGAGAAATTCTGACTTAAGAAATGTGTTTTCAGTCTTTGATTCCCTTAATGTAATCTCACTGTGATATAGGTTTTTGAGTACTGGGCTCACAGTTTAATGCAGAAACTCAAATATTTGCAGTGTAGAAGAAAATCAAGTAAATAGGGTGTAAAATCAGGGACATGAAATCTGTTCAACTGAAAGATGCTAATATCAGCAAAAAAACCCCAAAGAAACCCCCACTATGAATACTAATCAGCAGGCAAAAAATGCATGGGTGAAATATAAATTGCTGTATTCCTGAACCTGATCCCTCTGAAAATCCCACAAGAGTTCTATGATTTACTTTTCTGAGAGAAGAAAGAAGCTGTTGTTTTACTTTCATTAAATATATACATATACATGTCTCTCAAAAGTATATTTTTCCAAAACACTTGAAAATTATAATTTTAAAAGCTATTGCAGAAGATCCTTTTTACTCTGCTGACTTTCTCATAACACAGAGAGTTTTTCTGCTTTTTCATCAGCAAAGATGGTAAGTAGGAAAAAGGTGAAGAGCAAATCCCTTTGGTGGCTGGAGATAGTGTTACTCTGAAGTACTGTGATTAACTTAAAACATTTGAAATGTAGAAGTTGAAAAAAAAAGTTTTTACATTGAAAAAAGCTAGAAACTTCTGTTTGGTTGTTTTAAAATAACAGACAGCTGTTTCTGGACGAATCTGGCAATTCAATAAATGTATGAGGTTCTGTCAGACTTGGAGCCCATCATTTAAAAGCAGAGAATGAATTTTGCATTTTATCTTTTTCAAGTGGATGTAAGCCAATATTCGGAAGAGGGAGGCAGGTTGAAAAAATTTTCTTCAGCCACTGAATTGGTGTAAACCAGCCTTATTCCACTGAAGAACTGCTGCTTGCATTCCTGTTCACTTATTGCCAACATCTTGTGCATTGTTCCTGCTGTGACATCATCCTTAAGATGAAGCTATCAAACTGAAATTTTACAGTGATTAATGGTACATAATTCGATATTTTTTTTTTTAGCGATGCATTGATTTTTTTTTTTTTTTTTTTTTTTTTTTAAAAAAGATTAAACTCTGACTAATTTAAGAAATACAAATGTGGTAGTTCATAAAAAAGTAGTTGTTACAACTGTACTGCTTATTTGGAGTAATTAGACCTGCTGAGCTGGCTGTCCTGATAGGCCATATAAAATTGCTTGATATGCTGGTTTACAAGCAAAAGGTATTTTCTCAGGAGTTCTTTTAATAAAGCAATTAGTGCTGTGGTATGTAACTGCTAAGCCTTTGCGCACTATTAAGATATAAAATGATTATACAGAAAGCTAAAGACTCAAAATGCCACATTTGACATATAGAGGCTTCTGCAATGACCTTAGTTTGTTTTCCCATTAAGAGGGATCTGTTATTTAAAACTAATTTAAGCACATAGACACTGATTTAAACATGACATTTAAGGCAGAGCATCCCAGCACTCTAAGCTGGATGGACTGATCCCTCTGGATGCTTTATACCAGAAATTTTTCTGCTGTAGATAACCTTGAATGGTGATCAGTGTATTTGTCAGCAAGCCTGGAAACAGTACCTACACAGAGCTTGCATTTGCATCCAGGACAACGGAGCAACAGGACCCCAGGACTCCTGCTCTCATCAGATGGGAACACCACAGTGTGATGTGGATTGCTGGGAATCCAAAAGTAGCACAATGCAGGGCTGTACACACCATACAAACGGCACACCAGCCTCTCAAAACTAAATGACCAGGATCAACTGTTTTCTCCCCTGTTGCATTCCAGCCCAGGAAAGGCATGAGGGACAGTCCTGTACATTCAGGAGCCTGGAGGTCTGCTCTTCAGATGGGGATTGATTCCTGAGGAGGTCAGTCCCTCTGCAGAGCAGTTTGTTTCGCTGTGTCTTTCTGTCCCTGCTCCTGTGGAAATTGTGTTTCTCCCTGTAAACTTCACCTAGAAGCTCCAAACTTTGCTGAGACATTTGACTGTGTCTGAATCGTGACTGCTTCTGTTTTCTGGCACTTAACATCTGCATACTCAAGCATGTAAGGTGTGCACAGGGTCTCTGCCAGCCAGGTCTGGCAGTCCTGCACAGTGCATGGCCTGAGCTGCATGTGTCTGTCTTGAGTTTGGATGCTATAGTAGCTGCCTGTCTGTATTAGGAAATCTTTTAAGTGGCTTCAGTATATCCCCAAGTCTTTGGTACTTACTTACATTGCTGCTTTGGTAAATATAGTACAAAGAGAGACAGAACAGTTGTGTCTGATTTATTTATAAAGACTGATTTATTTCAGTCTTTCAAAGTTTGCAACCCTAACTTGTACGGTCCTTGTTCAGGACAAACTGCATATGAGAAAACAGACCCTCCCAAATAAAAACTTAGTTTTACTTTTCTTCAATGTTAAAGTCTGTCTGTGCTGAGTACATACAGCCAGTGTATATATGGGCTAGCGGTGATCTCAGCTTCAGCAACTGTATTACTTACAGGGAAAAGGACAAGGGGCACAGTCAGGGTTACAGCCACCAGCACTGCCAGGCGAACTGACAGTAAGAGGGTGTCGAAGGTGTACACTTTGGTGTATGTGTGAAGTAGCTCATCTTCAACTTCTCCTACGAAAAGGAAACAGAAAGCAGTTGAATCACTTAAGTAATATCTGCACATGCAAAATGATCTTTATACTCCGGACAGATAAGATTAGCTTTGGCCCAGCTGCTGTCATCAGATACATGTTTTGGGTTAGGCACAAAAGAGGAATTTTCGCAGCATGACTGATACAAGTCCATCATTCAGAGATAATGAGGGTAATACAGCTTTGAGGTGATGCTTTGCATCCCAGTATCTCAAATGACTTTCTCAAAGTGATTAAGTGGATGTGGAATCTGAGGTAAAAATAATTTCTCTGATATGAAATAGGAAACAACTCACTGAACTGGGAACAGGTCCCTCCGACCTGCACTCAGGTGTCCCAGCTCTCAAACAGAGCCTTCCTGCCCCAGTGGTAGAGAGCAGATTGTGCTGTGTCATTCACTTCTCTGCTGTAATGGAGGAACTAACAAGGTAAAAAGAGGTGGCGTTTGCATAAAATGGTGTGCTAATAGAGGGGCTGCTCTGTTTACCTACCGGTTAGTCTAGCTCATCCATATTTTTTTTACACTAGAATGATTTGCACCTGTTTTTCAGCATAGGTGAAGGTGAATTAGTGGCGTCAGAGACAGGGTGGGTAGCACTTAATAGTGTCATGTAAAACTGTTGAGTACTAGAGTATTTTTAGTATGGTCACTCTTGGCCTTTGCCAAGAGCCAGGTTTACAGCAGCTTCTTGTTCACAAAACCAAGATATACAAAACTGTTCCACCTAGCAGGTGTCTCTGCATCTCTTGTGGGTGAAGAACTGGTGGCCCGATAGCTGAATAAGTCCCACCACTTATTCATGGGGTTACACACTAAGTACTTACTGTGTTTGAATAATGCTTACACCTGGATTCAGACCCATAGAAAATACATGAACACTTGAGCTTCAGTGTGACAGAACCATCTCACCTGCTTTAAAATGAGAGGGAAAATTCTGCAGAGAACAGGGCTTCAACCTACCATAGAAGGTAAGATATCCAAAGAGTGCAGCCAGAAGATACATGATAAGCATGCCAGTGATGGAGATATTTGAGACATTCTGCATCCGCTTTCTGGAGCGACTAAAGTAGGAGAGAAAGACAGTAACAGTGCTATTCTTATAAAGCCTCTATTTGTACAAGAAGTGCTCTGAAGAGTCATAGCTCTACTGACATCCCCTCACTGGCTAGTAGTTCATAGCAACTGTATTGGTTATACAGAGCTCTTTACTTGAAGCCTCACAGCTCTGTGCAGGACAGCACAGATTTATAAAAGTGTGTTGAAACTCTATTTCTACTGCTTACTTAGTGACAGCATATAAATGTGCTGTGTTATTTTGTATATCATTATTTATATACTATCAAATGTTGTATTTTAAATAAAAAAATGAAGTGGCTAAAATTGCAGGGCTGGTAATAACAATAGACAAGAGCTTTCAGTCAGCTCTGTATGAACATACCCTTATATCTACATAGGGCTGTTCTGCAGGTTCAAGAACCTCCTGCAGGTCAAATGCTTTCTTTAGAAATCCTTTGGTTAGAGATTTAGTGCAAGAAAATCTTCAGCTTATAGGACCTGGAAGCTGACCCAAGTCAGATGAGAATTTTTATTTCTTCTGAGGTTAAACCTGTTGAAATAGGAGGTAATGGGTCTTGGCCTCCTGGGGTTTTGCAGCACAACCTCCTGTAGTGTAATTCTTGCTGTTGAACAAATTTATTTTTCTTAGCCCTTCCCAACTGTCAACTCTGTGTTGATTTAAGCAAGTGTATTTGATTTTTATATTTGATAAGTGAAATAGACTGGGTGAAGGGTCTATGTAAGACACCCAAAACAATGGCATCCCAAGAAAGCTTAGGTATAAGCAGCAGCTGACCCAGATGCAGAACTCAATAAGATATTATTAGAAACCAGAATGATCTGTTTTAGGGCAATGAACTTCCCCAGTATATTCTACATCATTTGAAGGACTGTCCAGATTCCCCCTTTCCTAAGTAAATATCGATTAATGCAGCTATCTGAACAGTGGTTCTCTATCACCAGTATCTGACTGCTAGGTCAAAGCAAAGCCAATATCTGCTTACTATGGAAAGCAATAAATCATAGCTGTCTACACACCAGTAATCAAGGCAGAACATGTAGAAAGTGATCTCTAGCTATGTTTAACTGGAAGTATGGGACAAAATTTAAGAACCTTACTCTTTCAGTTCACTGTATATTGGTAGCACCTCAGGGTGGCATACGAATGCAAATGCCAGGATGGGTATTGCATAGGCAGTCTGTAAAATAAAGCTCCCATTAGTAAGAATGGTCACTGATGTACCTCTGACTTTTGGCAGGCAGCAGTTTAGCTGTGGCACAAATGGCTAAAGACAAATTTTACTGAAACTCCCTTACCCGTGAGTTGAACACAAAGTATTTTGGCTGACACATGTCACTACTGTCGCTGTGTGCTTCATATTCTACACCACTTTTGGGGGAGGTATCTTTTGGCTCCTCAAGGCCTGGCAAGTGCCCAGCTGTGTTGTCCATCATGAAATTCACACCAGAACTGAGAGACTCATTTGGTAACATGACCAGGTGCATTGGCACTGTGTTGTTGGTAGTGGTCCAGTTTTCAACCCCATGGTCCATGATGGGGAGAGGACATGGTATTTGGGATTTCTCGAAGATTACCTACAAAAGAGTAGACAATGTAATCAGAAGGGTACCACCATAGGAGATTACACTTACATCCAGGGTATGCCAACAGAAATATAGACAGGAACAGAGAAGAGAGAGGGGAAGGAGAGGGAGGAAGAAAACAATTGCTACACTTCTGCTTCTCCTGCAAGTATTTGTTGTTACTCTGTGTCTGCAGTTTTCCTGCTTTATTTTGTATTCTCAGGTCTTGTTTTTTTAGGCTGATCTTTTTTTATTCTGGTTTCATTTGGCAATAAGCTTGCTGGTTTGATTCACTTGCAGGTGTTATTCTAACATCCACATTAAATTGTCATGGTAAAAAATATAGCAGCATTGCACAGTTTGCAGGCTCTGTATTTGCAGAGAGACAATACCTAGTCACTTACCACACTGACAAAGAAAACCATACAGGTCAGCGAAAAACCACTCGTATAACCAAGATAACCTGGGTAGGAAGAAAAAAACCAAACACAATTGTTCAGTTACATATAAATTCATAATCCTAACAGAAATAAGAAATGAGGTTAAGTGGGGCATTAAGCTTACCTAAGCTCTTTAGAAGGGAGAGAGGAAGAATAATCCCAATTGTTACGAGTATGACGAGGTAATTCCCATTTAGGTACCATTCCCTAAAGTGGAGGAATTAAAAATAACAATTATTATCATGGACATCAAAGTGAAAAATTTTCATCTGAGGTTCAAGTTGGGCAAAGGTACCTACCCAGAACTCTCCTCAAGTTTCATGAATGCTCTGATCACTTCAGGAAGTTCATATTTAATAATAAAGAGGTAGCTTGACATTGCTGAAAAAAATAAACACCTTCAGAGAAAACAGTGTACTTCCAACAAAAATAATTTGCTTTAAAAACCATTAATACTTCATGGAAAACATTTAGTTAGGGAAACCAGTTTTTGCTAAAATAGAGAAATTAGTTTTGTTCAAATAACACTGTGACTAAATAGATAATATGTTCCCTTGATATTGTTATGAGCATGTCCTGAATGGCATCTAGCATTCAGTATTAGAATACAATACAGTTATTACTGGATTAACAACATACTGAAATCACTGTTCTGATGAAATTTCTGTTCTTAACTTTTCCTTTTGCTTTTCTGTTGTCAATGTTGTTTTTCCTATGGACAGTGTCCATCCACATCCTGTAGTAACTTTAGTTGCTACTGCCTCTAAATCTCTTCATCTGCCTTATCCCTTCTATTTTTAGCTTCTTGCTTCTAATACACTACTCCACATATTAAAAAAACCCTGACCCAATTTTCCTGATGGAAGGGTGGACTTCTATACATCTCGTTTAAATGTACTTCCAGAAGGCATGCTTTTTTTCAGTTATTTTACACTGGCCACAGAGAGGTTTCTGGAGGCCTATGGATCAGTCTAGACAACAGGACTAGAGGAACAGTTCTCTAGGAGGGAAGCATACTTCCTTTCTGAATTCAACCACATTTGATACCTGGGCTTGAGGAAGGAAAGGAAGACCATGAAATAGGATCTTTTATGAACAAAATAAAAAAGCCTCTTGCAGTAGACCACATCTGTCTGGGTAGCAAAGTTGCTCTAAAAGGACAGTAATGATCTGTCGATGGAGATTTGCAAAACATGCCAAATTCCAGGAGAGAGAACACAAAAAACTCTATGTATATTTAATTGAACGCTGATGCATATAATTTATATTTCAACTACCTCTCCTTAAAAAATCTTGAAAAAACTACAAAATGCCCTGAGCTTTCAGAGATGGTGTTCTCCAGTCTTCTAAAAGGCTTCTTCCAGTGTAGCAAAAGGAATTAAGTTTTGTTGCATGAATGCATTGTCAGTAAGTAAACAGTATCCTGAGAGGATGAATATTTCTTCATAGATATTTCACAGGAAGTATCTTTGTGGATGAATATTTCCAACAATCACTCTTAAACATTCAACAAATTAGAGCCATCACAACCCAGCTGTCATTTCAATGAGACAATTCAGCTGTAAAATGAACTACTGAAGAGCCTTTCTTTTATGGAGAAGTCAGAAGCATGTGCTGTTCCTTTTTGGTCAGATTAATCTTTTCTGAGTTGAAGCAGATGATGTCTAGTCTGAGTTGTACTCAATGAAGAGAAACAAACAGGTCTTTAAGGACATTCAGCCAAGCTATTTTAGCCATCATTGAAGGCTCTTCACTGGTCATGGAGGGATCCCAAGTGACTAGCTTTCACCAGACACTGAAGTGTCAGATAACTGAAACAAGCCAAGGTGAATTCCTCCTGTCCTTCCTTATTATAGTATGGTATAGATATATGTACCTGGCTTCTCTCTGATGCCATTTAGCCAGAAGAGGAGAGAAAACACTTGTGTTCTGTAGAAAAGTTTGAAAACTCTTGCCCCTTACCTCCAATGTTCTGCATTGTAACTGAAATAAAAACACCACACTTCCCAGGCCAGCCAAATGCCTTTTCTCCCAGTTTTTCATATATTAATGATCCTGAAAAACAAACAAACAAACAAATGAAGAAACATGGGCCACTGCATTGGACACACTTGATGAATTGGATTCCAAGGTAAAATACATGCATGCAGTAGGGACTCAGTCAGTCACAGCCTGATCCTCATACCTCCTTCTTTTGATATCTTCAGTAAGAGGTGGACCGAGTAGAGTGACAGTATTGCTACGCTGAGCAGCAAAACTCTGCAAGGCAAAGCAAAAATCAGAATCCCAAGCAGGACATCAGAGACACTCAGTTGATTTGAACGTAAGCTTGCTCATTCTCATGAAGTCAATGCATAATAGTTTTCAGCAAGTTTGTACTTTGGACTCCCAGTGCTAAATGAAGAGACAATTGTCAGCTGTAGCTTACTTGTGAGTCTTGTACTCCATGAGCCCCTCAAGGCTTGTTTAAGTTCAGGTAAGTGCCAGTTCTGTGTTGTTCCACAAGGACTGAATCTTACATCTTATCAAGACCCTGCTGAAGTAAACAGATTTCTATACAAGAGTCAGGTCTTCGGTCTCTTGCCTGCTCACTGACCACTTATTTTAATCTCTCTCCTTACTCAGAGCTATTAGAAAAGAAACTAAAGCCATGATTGTGACAACTTTGCTGCCTGCTCCTACTTAGTTGCCACTTTTGGCTTTCGCTATGTCATCATGAAGGTGTGGAGTTTAGCTTGAGATGCCTGCTTTCGCTTTTAGAAATCTTGCATAATGCTAAAGTGTGGCATGACACTGGCAAGTCTACTGTTGGAGCACTTGCACCATACTCTTTTAGCTTAGTCTGTTTGCAGGTACTGGTGCCCGAATTAATTCTTATTACTGCCATGTTTCTTCCACACAACATTCACATCCTATGTGATTTCAGCTATCTGCCTGTTGTGAACTGCTGGTGAAAAATGTAGCTTTTATGACATTTTCAGAGCACAACACCATGGATAACATATCTTATTACCACTGTCTTGTTAGCAACCTGCACAAGTGTTGGTGCAGAAGGGGATGCAAGATAACATGACACAGTTAAGAATACGGATGTGCCTTACTCCGTGACTGAACAGGAGGTTGTGCCCACAGCTTCCACTCCACTGAACACATGGTTTGGTATAGCTATGGGAAACACTTGACAGCCAAGTTCATAAATGAGTTACAGTCTAAGAGGAGACATAGGCCCTGGGGCCATGCGATGGCCACGAGACCACATTTTTCTCTGAATTTTCTTTCTCCAAGAGAGACAGACAGTGCTGCAGACTTCATGTGAGCAAGGTTGTCTCTCACGCTGTTGGCTCATGCAATCTGTTAAGGAGGGTCATGTCTGAGGTTGCAGTGTATTCTACCAAGATGGCACCCTTCTTAATCATGCAGCTGCTTTTCGGAGACATGGTCTCCATGTCCTGATGCATGAGGTGTGGTAAACTAAAGCCATCCTGGTTGCACTTGCTAAATCATGCCAGGCAGCAGAAGTGATGCTCTGGTGCATGCTGTGTGCCATTGCAAATGTCCTCTACAGGAGAGGAGGATGTAATAACTTCTGGAGAGCTTCTGAAATTTAGGAGCCCTCCGTTAACCTTCACCCTGTGAAACATCTTCCAGCATAAGAGCACTTGGGCAACATGAGAACAGTAAATTACAAAAATTTAGACAACTCTGCCAGCATCATATAAATTAAAATAAATGTCCAGCAGTTTCCATTTAGTAGATGGGATTTTTCTGTCCTGCTAACACTAACGTCATGATCTGTGAAAACAGAGGAACCTCCAGTAAGTGGATACATGCTATGGGGATAACAATATCCTAACACAGTTTTATACTTTTAAATAAAACTCTTTCCTCTACCAGAAGGGAGAATGTTCTCATGCAGAAAGTATGAAAGTAGGACAGAAAAGAAAATGAGCTGTGGGTGGAGACGTCCTTTGTTTTTGCTGTTTAAGACTTCATAGGGTTGCTTTAGCATTACTCCCTGTTTTAGCACCACCAACAGAGCTAATGTCATTAGGCTCATATCAGATTTTTTTTAGCCACCCGTGTGAGTGAACAGAACCTTAAAAACAAAGATATTGCAAAGGTAATGTTTTTTTTCCCCTAGCGAGGCTTGATGTATCACAGTTTTCTTTCCAGTGATATTTTATGGCCATACTAGTTAGTAAAAGTGCTCAGAGAAAGTTGGAGAAAAAAAAAAATCCTACATTTTTCAGACTCTAATACAGTCAATTTTCGAACCAGCTTCCATTTTTGTATCTGTAAATACTAGATCTAAACAATTTGAGTGCAGGTGCATCTACAATTAATTTTGAGTCAAAAATTCTACTGGAAACACAGGAGGTGCTTCTTAGCAACTGGCTACATGTAGTATTTCAAATGCTGTTGTTGTCATAGTTACACAATCTCCAGAAGAAAGAAGCTGTATGAAGACAGACATGCAACCTGATTTAAAGGCTTGTTAGATTTCAGTAATGGCCTATTGTCATATAGTACTGTCATGCTTTATTCCAGCCTCATGGAGGATTAATATCAAGTCTTCAGTTAAAATTAAAACCAGTTATTGAAAAAAGAAAACCAAGTTTTGTTCTTGGGTGTTTTTTTGTTTTTTTTTTTTTTTTTCTTCTGTATAGTCCGTCTCATTTTACAAGGTTAGCCATAGATTAAAAAACTTCATGTGGCTATCTGTTACTGTCTATCAAAACCCATTTTGTATAGATACTGTATGTCAGCCACATACCATTGCTGTCATCTGTGCATGTTGAGTACAAATAGACTTGAGGGAGAACATTAAATCTGAATAAATCTGTGAATGCCTTTGCATTCAAAGCAGACTGCTATTTCAGACTTACATTGAATATTCTTCTTCCATTTCTACATAGTGATTAGATAGTTGGGATGATGTAAATATATACTTTATGGGTGATTTATTTCCCTTGTTGAAATCCCAACTGAACCAGTAAGATTGTTGTTATTTTAGGACCAGTATACTGTTGTACCCCTCTGGCTTTTGCTCTGGCTTTTGACTGAATAGTATCAATTTACAGTTGTGTTCCTGATACAAAACAGGGCTTAAAAAAAAAAAAGGTTTGTCAGCAGTGGATGGTTCCTTGTGGTGCAGCTAAAATGTTTTAATTACAGATGATCTTACAAAACATTTCAGCTAACAAAACAAGCTTAATGTACCTCTCAGTCAAAAAAAACTTTAGCTCCAGCTCACTGCTTATATTCTATTTGTTTTTCTTTATATGTACTTACATGAAAAGGATAATTCCTGTGTTGGCCATGGCATAGGAGAGCCCTAAGATGCCACTGCCCATAATGGCATTGCTGAGGTTGAACGAGGACATTCCAAAGGAAGCTCTGCCCCGGTGCTGTTGAGAACAAGAACAGAAAATTACAATTAATTTGCATTTTACTGAGAACAACTGACTAATTATCATGTCTGCTGTTTTCCATTGTATTGCTTCCTTGATCTTTAGAGGCAGAGCTTTGTCAAGGTTCCTGAGGTCACAGGTGCTTGCCACCATAAGGAGTCTCTTCTATCCCCAAAGTCAGCTGTGCTGGTAGGTGTTTGCCTCTTTCCACTCTCCTCTTGTCTCAGTGGGGGGAAGAGCTACATCCCTGACAGGCAGCTGAGGTGACATTGCCACAACTGGCTGTGTTGGCCAGCCTCTCTAGAAATACATGCTGTTATCTAACAGATTTTCAAATTACTGATTTAAAAAAAATCAGATGTTCATGAAAACTTCGAATAAAGTTAAACCCCGAACAGAGAGATATTCCCACGAACCCCCCAGGAACCAGTGCTGTACTTCCATTTGCACATGGAAAAAGCTGGAGGTGTACTGAGTGTGTAATGTTCAGCATTGTAAAGCCAAATGTGAATGTCCTTCCTTTAAAACAATGTAGCTGGATGTGGATTCATTTGCACTGACTCTGGAAACAAACAATACAAATACACATGCACTAAGGCCCAGCTCTAACTTGTTATAGGAACAACAAAGTTCCCCTGAACCAAATCTCCTATCAGAAAAATGGGTGCAGACCCACCCTGGCTGAACATCTCAGGTGAGATGACATGGGGGCTACTGAAGTCCAAGTATGATCTGAGGAATTTTTCTGAATACTTGGGAAAGAAAGACCCAGTTTTGCTTGCAAGACAACAGAAAGTGTTTGCTGCACTAACTGTTAGAAAATATGTTTACTCTTCCAAAGCCAAGATTATACCGATCAAGCTCCAGAGTAACTTTGTTTACTGAAACTTTTGGAAAAATATTCAGGTCAATAAGATTTACTTTGCAATTACCCTTAAAATTGAGTTAAACTTACATATTCTTCATTATATTCTTCCAATTTCTTTTTACCCAGATATCCATTTGTAAGGAATTTCTGACTTTCTGCATCATCACTAGCAAATGCACTGAACATGAAGAAAAATAAGAAAATATTAGATAAGGCTTATGACAAACACATTAAGTTCAAGTAGTGCCTTTTGTCATCAGTGGAAACTTTCCTTTGACATCACAATGAATATTTAAAAATCCTTCAGAAAAAACCCTCTTTACTCCCGTGAGATTCTCATGTCCAATGACATGTTTAATAGATTTTTTTTTTTTTCTTCCCTTGGAATTTAGTCTTAAACCCAGTAATCTTCAAATTATATCTGACTGCAGATGTTGGAAAATAACAATGCCTTACTGCCAGCAATGTGCTGAAGCAGAGCACGTACTTCACATCTGAGGAACAAAGCGCCTTGCAGCTGCCCTGTCAGAGGTATGTGTTGGGGGGTTCAGCAAGCTGAGAGCTGGAGGAGGATGGCTGGCTTTGAGATGTCTTTCTCAGGTCACCCAGGTTCTGGTGCTATAGGGGTTCCTGGTGGAGATGCCTGAGGGTGGGCTGCCCCATGGGAGATGAGCACTGCCCTGGGAGCATATTAATTTAAACATGTCCTATCTGGCTGGAGTGGTTGAAAATTGCCAAGCGGGTCCCTGAAGAGGTCACTTCAGGCAGTGGGCAACAAGGGGGAACCTGGGCTGCCCCTGTTGTGCTGGGCACACCATGCTTGAGAGAGGAGAACAGTGATGGTTGGTGCTGTGGGAAAACACTAGCTAAACAACCACACTAAATCCATCGCATTACCTAGGAAATGTTTTGAGTCTCAGATGCCGTTAGTGAAGTTTGCTTTTTTGGTTACTGCTTTCTAGCCTTAACAGAACAGCCTTCCCATTTAAATGCTTACCTTCTAATTGCAGCCTTTTCTGAATCAACCAGCTCCGTGTAGTTATCTTCTAGGCTTTCCCCACTGTTGCTCTGATCATCAAGTTCGATGTTGACTTTTTGCAGCTCCATGCGATCCATTAGAGCGGTCAGCGCTTTCCAGCACACACACTCACTTCTTCAGGGTAAACAGCACCACGTCGTCTGCTTGTGGGTCCTCTCTACCATGCAGGGACTGCCAGAACACTCTGTTCTGCAAACACAACACAACAGAACTCATTAGAGTTTTCCTCAAATTAGATAAACCAGTGTGAATTGTTGGGTTTGTGTTTGTTCTTTGTAATAGCATTAAGAGGGGCAACTGTTGCAGACTGGGAAAATTCTGGGCAAGCATAATGTCCCTTTATGTGCCAGCACTTGGCCCTTCTGTCTCGCCTCAAATGGGAAAGAGTGCAGGGGCCAATGGATGCACAGTGGATGTCCAGCATCTGGCAAAATTACAAATCCAGCAGAAAATAATTACTTGAACTGCTGTTTTTGAATTTCTAGGGGATGGTGAGGTGGAAGTGCTTGCTGTTAGAAATGGAGTATATCAGGGTTTTCCTACCGCTACTTCAAAACATACTTACTCTTAAGGGAAATTATTTTGGAATAATTTTTTGTAAGATTAATGTTGTCATAGATTTAAATGTTTTGAAGGTTTGGCTGCTTCACTGGAATCTGACAGAGGTAAGCATCTCTGCATGATCACTTCTTTGATATTTAGGTGGTGCAATTCTGATACAGCAGTTTCTGGTTTTCAGTATATCTGTGTTTAATTCTTACTTGTCCCAAGACTAGAAGCTCTATCTCATGCAGGAATATTACATCAATATTGCATGGACTGCCTTTACTTTTGTTAGAAAAATCTCTGCCTTTTAAAAATCATATGGATAAATGCTCAACTCTCTATTTCTATATGGACCAAAGGAAACTGTACAAACCAGAATTACAAAGAGGACTTCACCTCCAGGATTGTCAGCAGCTTTATGTTACAGTCTCATCTGCAGATACATATTTACATTCATTTGCTCATTCCCAGATTCAAGTGGAAAACACAGTGCAAGGAATGTTGCAGGTTTATTATACTATTCCCTTCCCAAAGATATTCCTTGATGCATTTTATATTTCCATGTCATAGCTGAGGAGACAAAGTGGCACACTGGTGAAGAGAGCAAGTACAGACCAGATCGCATGTTGCTGGCACTCTACCTGCTACGTTGCAATCAGGCACACTGGCTGAATCCATTAAAATTTTCATAAATATCACATGCTAAATGCAGCACAGCACTGTATACTAACAATATCAGACACTGCAACAAGTAATTTTTATGTCTGGCTCTTTGTAACACTAAACCTGCAATTATTTAATAGTCTTTTCCCTGGTTTTGCATTTATAATGGATATGTCCTTGCTCAATGACCAGACCTTCACTAGCCTCTGCTAATGACCATATACTGTTCTTAAGAATGTCTACAAACATGCTTGTAGTGGCAAAATGTTAGAATGAATGTATTTAAAATGTAAACATAAACTTTAAATACTGGTCCTAGAGGCTAAAACTGACCCCAGGCCAGAAATTAAAGTCAGTTTCCTTGCTTACTAAAAACATTCACCCAGACCACACAGCTGAAAAGGATAAGCAATATCACAGTGCATTAAGAGGTTTCCTACCAGAGAGATCATCTGTGTTTACTCCTTTTGGCTGCCACGCAAGGAGTGTGCATGAGGGGACGAGTGACTTGGGCATCAGGGCAGAGCTGCTGGCACTCGCATTCCAGCAGCCGGGGGGTTCTGCCAGTTTGGGATATGAATAACTCCAGGACATAGAAAGACAATAAGAAACCCCCCCAACAGAGCCCCCCTAACTGTGATTTCATTCACAGAACTGTCTTCAAAAGCAGACACTGCCCTGTCTGAGAAACAAAGTCTTTCCAATTCCTGATGCTTATTTTTAATCATCTGTGGTGTAAAAGTCAGGCAGAAAAATCTGACTGCGCTTAGCCCTGTTCTGGTAAAGGGCAAAATCTCCCCTGTGCACACTGCCAAACGCTTGTCAGAGAAACACTTGTCTTTTCCAGAAGTGGTAGTCCAAAAAAAATACAGATCTTCAAAGAGTTGGGAAACAGAGGAAAAGTAAGCAAAAAAGTTGCCAGTGGTTAAATTACACAGAGATTAGGCTGAGGAGGAAAGTTTGTGCAGCACAGCAAACACAATTTGGAAAGGGGAGCAAAAATGGACTGGAAATACATGTTAGAGCATAAGAATCATCTGGACATTGTCCTGTCAAACATTTACCCAAGTAATCTGATTTATGGGCGTCACCTCAAAAGGCTGTGGAACTACCACATAAAGCAGTGATTTAAAAATCATTTAATTTTATTTTTTAATCTGCGAATTCCTAAGAGTCTTCTGGTGAAGGTGGAAAGCCTCAGGTGGCAAAATTAAATCTGTTGAGAAGCTGGTTTCTTGCAGTTGTCACCTTTTAGGGAACAGCTGGTAGAGCTCAAAGGGTCTGCAAGCCATGAGCTGAAAGACATTGGCATAAATGTGGGCAGGATGAGACCCATGAAACTGTCTTGGTATTAGATTTGAATCCTGCAAATACTAATATCTGTAATTACAACCAACGGTGTCTTTGAACTTCAGCAGAACTTGTCAGAACTGGTCCTTAGTTGGTGGAAATCCATGTCTTCAGGTTCCTATATGGAAGGTATGGAAGGGTTTGAGAAGATGTTGAGGTACTGGCAGCGTTTGCTCCCCATGGGTAACATGGAATGGGCAGAGCTGCCAGCCCTTCACCTGAAGAGGAAATGGGGTAGCCATGTGCCTCTTGGGTTGCTGCTTGACCTGTGAGATATTATTTAGAAAAAGGGGGATGCACTAGCTGTCTCTGTTTAAAATAAGTTCTGGCTACAGCTGCATGCTGCACCATGAGCAACCCCACTGCCAGGGCTGGTAGATGGGTGCTCAGCTGCACCCCTGCAGGGGTTTGTGCTGGTTGAAAGACTGCTCCTGGGTCATGGCCAGGCACCAGGGCAGTGATGGCGTGACAGAGCACGGCCACCAAGGGCGGGCAGGCCTGGGCCCTGGCAAGAAGATTAGCACATGATAGCAGAGGAGAAACATCAAAGTTCATCTGCTTTAGCTTCCCTGGGATTGAGTGCTTTCTGCTTCAGAGTTGTGAATTTGGTCCCTAAACTCTGTTTTAGGCATCCAAACCCATCATGACTTGTGTGACTTCCTTTCCCTACAGAGGATTTTTCTAAGTTTGGAAGCAATCAAAAATCTCTCCACTTCGTTTTCCTCCTCTTTAGTTAAAACCAATACATTTTCCCCTATATTTATATATATGGATAATCTTAGCTCTACAGTGTTTCTTAAACTTGGCTTCAATATGGTGATAGTTTTGCTGTCTCCTGTGGCATTTGGCTGAACAGAAAATATTTTTCTTAAAGTATGGTATTAAAATGGAAATACTGGTTGCAAGAGATTCACCTATTATTAGCGGGAAGCTATTTATCCCTATAGAACTATTTTTCTCTTCAAGTATAGGGTACTGTTCTGCATCATTTATTAAGTAACGGTTTTCAGCAGTGATTCAGAAAATGATGACATTTTTGGCATGAGATTTCACAATGTTATTGATTTCTGTCCAGTCTGCAGTTAAGATATTGAGCGAATGGACAATGATCGGGCAGACAATGCCAGGTCACAGATATGACTAACATTTTCATGGGTTTTGCAGTATCAAGATTTGTAAGCTCCATCATGGTATCTGATTTAGCAGATTTTGCCAGATTCTTCATCTTCATGACAGTGACTTAATAAAATTATTGTCTGCACAGCTGTTTAAAAATGAAATGTTCTGTCACTGTGAAATAAACAGTTGAAATGCAAAGCCTTCTTTCACAAATTCATTTATTTACAGAAATGTTAGCCAAGTAAATCAAGAGCCTTGAAAAAAATTATCAGAAATTAGCCAAGGGCTGCAAAGTAAAGCAAGCATACATTTCTTAATTGCCTCATCAGTTTTAAACACTCTTTGTTGCTTCTCTTTTGCTTAGGTTTTGATTTGATCTACAAAAACAAACAAAAAAAACCCAAACCAAAAAAAAGGACTAAATTTCATACGTGAAGAAATGCCAAATATATTTGCCAATGTAAATTACCATGTCAGTAATTCTTAAGGAACGCATTCTTCACATTGCACTTATATTTACAGATTAATTAAATTTCTAACTATCGGATTTTAAAATTGTCACCAGTGTCTAAAATACATTGATCAAACATTGTAAAGAAAAAATATTTCAGGCTTACCTCTGAGTCAAGCAGGTTCTCTCCCTCACTTGCTAAGCAGGTTATATCTTCTAGGAATTGCACCTGTAATGAAAAGTTTGCTCATGTGCAACCTAGAGCAGCTGGACAGTGATTTAAAGACAAATGGGAGTGTATCAGATGAACCAATCAACAGCTGCTACACCCCAACAACTCCCTTTGACAAACTTGCGTCAGCTCTTTTTTAAAAAAGGGTAAAAAAAAAGAAGAAAAGTAAATCAGTTTATTGGAGCACACTGAGGGCAAACATCTCAGTTACAAGAGCTATTTGCTCTCTGAGCTTAGCTCTATTACAAAATGCCTATCTGCAGAATGCTTCACCCAGGCTTGATCATGCTTTCATTTGACAGTCTTGATTTTTGAATGATGCGTGTGTATTAAGCTTGCAGTAACACAATAGTAATAAGCCTGGAAAATGGGATCTGGGAAAAAAACTAAGGGCTCCCACACTGCTCTTATCTCTGTAACTACAGAGCAACATCTTGCAATTGCAGTGAGGTGTGCGCGGCAGAACTTGTTTGTAAGTGTGTGCGTTTAAAATAGGCTGGTTGACCTGTACCTTAGTTTCCCAGTTGAAATATTTACTGTCATTACAATTGTAGAGGTATATGTTAAATGACAAATGTTACTCATTTAATGGCAATATACACCCGTGGAGAAGTATTTCATTACCTGTGATGTGCTTGTGTAGAATTTACAACCTTTTATCCAATTATATAATGACTGTAATTAAAAAATCCAAACAACCCTCCAGCCCTCTCTCCCATGTAGGCTTTGTGATTAAAGCCCTCAGACTGGCCTGACTGCGAAGGCAGGAAGGCAAGTGAGGGGATGTAATTTTTAATGCTTAAGAGTTCCCTGCGGAGCACTTCAGTCTGCTTTAGCTCGGGCTGGGTGACAACCTGTGGGAACCCAACCCTGCTTCTCCATAAGCAGGGTTTCTGCCTGCTTGCTGCTGGCACTGGCTGTGCTGTGCCATTTTATGGTTCCCCCCTCCAAAAAAATCCTAGTTCCAATATAGACTCAGACAAATAGTTTAACAAAAATAAGCTGTCTCCCTCAGTTCTGCATTCCCATGACAATGTGACTGATCATAGAGCCTGTCATGTCATACGATGTCAAAAGCAGTACAGTTCAAAGATTAAGAGGTGCAAGGTTCGGAACTGGAGGTCCTGTCTTGCTTTAAACCTATCTCATAGTTGGAAAAATGAACACATTTTTGGGCTTAGACTAGATAACAGACTAGGAAGTCTGAAAGCTGGCCATATTTTCCATTGTATCAGCTGGCCTAATGAGGGAAACAAGCTCTCCTGCTAAAGAATATGTCAAAGAATAGGTGTCTTAATGAATTAAAGCAGTTCTCAGCTGTGGTTTGGCACCAAGCTGTTTTATACCATTTCTAGGATGAGAGGAGCAGAGCTGCAGGAGGGACTGGGGAAGGCAGTCCTGCTCCATTTGTGCCTGTTTGCTTTGCACACTTGACAGGACTGTGGGTATAGGCAGATTTTTTGTTGCACTCTTGTTCATGTGGGTGTCTCATGTAATGACAGGGGAGAAAAAAACGTTTCTTTAAACAAATGAAAATAAGATTCTAAACCATATAGCAAACAGCAGGGAGATTTGGAGACAGATGTACTAACAAATCAACAACAGCTGTGAAAATTACTTCTGATACATATTTTGAACCTGATTAAAAAAATAGTAATTAAGATTAGAGTTTGTTTCCTTTTCAAATACCACAGATATCAGTGTCTATGTCTGATACTCACTGAGCCTTAGCAGCATGGCACAACTCTGCAGCCACATCAGGGTACTTGGGTGGGTCTTTCCTCGGTGCACAGAGGAATGGAATCATGAGGACTGACAGTGCTCAGCAGTACCCCTGACCCAGCACTTGATGCCCCAAAGATGCCAGGCAGCATAAGGTGTACGGGCAGGTGGGGCTGACATAAACTGTCCACATGCTTGTAGGCAATTTTGTCTGCAATGGAGGAACCAGATGTATTAACATGAGGTTTCTTGACACTGCCAGTTCCTTCTGCCTATCCCCAACTAGAAAGCACTGCTTAATTTTCACCAGGAAGGACTTCTCTCAGCTGAGCAAATGTTGGTGTCTGATCTTCAGACTGAAGGGAGACACATTCTAACCCTAGGACTGCAGAGGCCTTTCTGTTCGGTATTCCTCATGTCTGTATTCGATTTCACTATTTCTAAAGAAAACTTTGTATTTGCTAGAATTATTGACATCCTGTGAGAGTTTAAAGACGAAAATATAATTTCTTGTTTTCCGGCAAAGAATAGGATTAAATTCTTGATTATAATGTTGGAAACAGTGAACAAAAGAAAGCACAACCTTGTGATATTCATCACACTCATGCCTGTTTGTAGCTGACACTAGCTTTCTGTGAGACATGTCTATGATACTCTGCAGCCAGAGTAACTTCTCTTATATTCAAAGAAGGACCAAGTATACTGCTTTTGACCAACCACCCATCCTCCAAAAGCTGCTGAATAAATCTCTTTCTCAATTTGTGGGATCATATTACAAACTCCAATAGTCACCTCAGTGCCTATGGAGCACCCTGTAGCTCATGAGAGAGTGTTTCCCCCACAGTGCTAGATTCCTGTTTACTCTTTCTCTGAGGAAGCTGGGTCAACTGCAGCTAGAACTATGCCATTTCATAGATGTAATATTATATTCTCCTCTTCTGGTGCCTTTTGGCTAGCTACCACCTCATAGACACAGCATGCAATGCAGTAATTACTTAGTAAGTAATTGCCATTACTTAGAGGAGAGATTTGCAGACAAAGCAGGTCAGGGCTGTGCTGCTGTCACTGTAACTTCTTACTTTGCTATGTCTGGAGCCTGGGTTGGCAAAAAGGCTTTATAGGGTGAAACAAGGTTGGTATTGAATGTGCAGAAGATGCTTTTATCAAAATACTAAGCACGTGGGTTTTTTTTGTTTTTTTGTTTTTTTTTTTTTTTCTCTGCATTTTAGCCTTGTTTTTTAGAATGTGAGATTGTGTTAAATGTTTCATTAACATTTTCCTGTTTTCTACAAACAGGAAATCCCACTCTCGCCTGCAAACAAACAAACAAACAAAAATAGTAATATACCTATTTTGAAGTAACTGCTGCTCTCTGACTCATACTACCTTCCTCTTGGTACAAGAGCCTTAAGTCTGTCTGTGTTTGCTTCTTGCTCAAATACTGTCTTCTGAAGTTGCAGGAGATTTTGATGGAGCTCACTCCACACTGTTTCACTCTGTACTCATCGTCATTGCCACTGAAGCGACCAGTCTGTAGAGGAAAGCAAAGTGTATTTTGCTATTTTGTTGTGGCTATCTGCTCTTCACCAGTACACTAGAAATCAAAGTAATCCTGGTGATGATAAGCCAGCTGCATTCAAAGCATATGACACTACAGACACATCTACACACAGGTCCAAATCCACACTTTAAAAGGTTTAGGATGCTTTTTGCAGGAGTAATTTCAGTGTTAGCTGACTCCTGCTATGCTTTATTCTTAGAAACACACATTTTAAAAAAATAGTTTTTATTTCACAATTTTTAAAAGTTTAAGACCAAGACAGGTAATGTCATTTCCTGCCTCTCAAACACCCTGAATTCTCACCCAGATCCTGCATATCCAAGGAGCCACATAATTTCAGCTGGACTAAAACATTTGGATTTTTTGGAATAGAAAAAGTTGGGATAACAAGGCTTGTTTAAACTGACAGAGGGGGAGCTAAGGGGGAGGATGAGAGCAAGCTATAGCTACTTGGAGGGTGATTAGAAAGGTGACTCTCCTTAGTAGTGCCAGACAGCCAGATATGGGATGGGGCAGGAGCCATGTACCAGAGTGTGAGAGGTTTAGGCTGGACATCAGCAGAATAGTAGTGCAACTCGGGAACATGTTGCTGAGGGAGCAGAGGCTGCAGAGTCATGTCTGTGAAGGTTTTTGAGACTCTGCAGGGCAAAGCCATGTCTGAGCTGACCTGGTGTTTGTGGCAGCCCTGCTTTGTGGCAGGTCACTGGACCAGCTGTCCTCCAACCGACCATTCCAATCAGTGTTCTGATGAGTGTATGAAACTGCTTAGTGCCACAAGCAGAAACACAAAGATATTAAAGATGCCTTCAAAACTACTGATGACAGGAACATAATTAGCTGAGACATGGCCAGATGCTAGGCAAACAACACTCCATGCATCAGAAGCAAGTTAAAAAAAAATACTCAGTGAGGAATTCAACAGTCCGTTTATCTATTGAGGAGATTTTCTGGAGAAAGAGCAACAGGTTTTGGCTTAAGAAATCTTTTTGTCTTCACACATACATTGTAAATACATAACTACCCACAAAAGCGCTCAAAATACTCTTTTAAAATATTAATACTCACAAATTTTCCAAATCAAAACTGAAGATAGTTGGTAAATGTATTAAATTCCCTGTAGCAGAATAACTGGTATGTTCTGAAAAGAGGCTGCAACATCCTGTTTTTCCTTTCCAAAACCATAATTTCTTTTGTCCCCAAGATTATTCCAGTCTCTCTGGCAGTAATGAGCTTCAGAGGGCAAGTATGAAAAGCAGCATTTGCAATTGGCTACAGTGAACTGAGGAAGAGCTAAAATAGAATATTAAATAAAACTCAAGTGATTCACTTTAAGGAACAGAATTCCATATAATAAATACAATCTTCAGAATCAGGACTATAATTTACAGCATATTAATTGTTTTACTACTGTGCTTTTTGACTTAGTGTGCCTATAACATTAAGTATGACTATAGGTGGCATATGATATTTTCTTTGTGACATTACCACATCTCCCTATTGTAATGATTCCTGCCAGCTCGGAGTGTAAGTATTTATTGTTGTCCAATAGTTTTAAGAAGAAGGGAAAGACAGAGAGGTTCAGCTTCATAACACCTAACGAAAGGCACTTCACTGCAATGACTAAGAAAGGAGAAAAATTGCCTTAGGGTCTGTATAATCTCAATGGAGGGAGATAGGAACATCTCAGAAAATGACTCAGCCCATCTGGAAGGGGATTATGGTCACAAGCCAGCTTCTTTAATACATTTCAGT